GGGGTCTGTGCTCAGGGAAGTTCCAGACTTTTTTTTCGCTTCTTTTCTACAGATGAGTTTTTGAAGGGATACTGGTTCATAAGCACATGCTACCTGTTACACTTGATCGCGGGAATTGTCTTTTACGCAAATCCCTTGCTCCAGTGACAAGTCAGGGATACGGTAATGCAGCCCTTGAAGCTGCCACACAGTTCGCCACGGGCGAGGTGAGCGGCTTGACCGTGAGCGTGTCTTACGATAGAATCGCCCCTCTTCCAGATGCACCGCCACTGAGGGCGACCGAGCCCAACCGGCAGTGGGCACTGCAAACAGGAATCGTCGGCGCGAAAAGCGGGGTACGTGACGAGATAATGGCAATCTGCCGCGCTGAGGGGGGAGAGGGAAGTTGTGCGTCAACTGAATAGTTTGTCAACTGTCCGCACAAGCTGTGTCGAAATGGCAGCTCTTTTCCAGTAGTAGCGTACTTGAATAGGAAAGATCTCAAGTTAGTGATGTTAGCTTCCTCACCAGTCTGAAACATCTCCCTCGAACTGCCACCCTTATTGTTGCGCAACGCTCCGCGCGACAGGGCGGCTAATTACGATTGCGTTGACCGTTTCCCAAAAAATCGTTTTCAGGCATCAGAATGCGCCAGACAGGGGAAAAGTGAAGATGGATCGAATTCTGCTCATGCTAAGCGAGCTTGTTATCACTGCGGTCGGTAAACTGCTAGCAAACGCACATGGTAGGATAAGTATTCAGACAGGCTGCTCCTCTATGCAGCGTAGATCGTCGTTGTGTGAATCCCATCTGGGGGTCGTATAACCGCTGGGTGCATTGGCTGTCGGCTTCAGGTGCGCTCTAAACCCTAGTTCTGATAGTTGATCAGGGATGTCTCCCTCCCTCACCGTCAGAATGGTGTGAAAATTTATGTAGGAGGTGAATGTGCGAGGGGGGGGGGTCCTGCAAAGACATTCCTTGTGTTGAGTACTGATGATCCATTTTCTCTACGGTTTGCTCTATTCCCACGCTTTGCTCTGCTCGTATGAATCAATATACATTTGAAAGCTTCTCGATCTCGAATGAGAGTCGGGTGCATGGCGCATCCACGAAGAAGAAAAACAAGTTTGAAGTGTAGTGTGACCTGACTCTTACAGATTCGTCCTGTTTTACACACTCCTTTGATCTCTTGCCTTTCTCCTTAGGATCAGATGAGCCCATAAACGAATAGATTACCTTGCATCCTTTCCAAGGCACAAGGCACGATAATTTGGTACTAGGTCTAAAATGCTCACAGGGGTGCTATATAGTGGGAGAAATGGCGAAAAACCCCAAAGTGAAACGATCAAAAACCTGCAAAAAAGCCTTTGTTACACGACTCACCATCAGAAAGCGATTTCGGATGAGCTTTCCCGTTGGCATCTTGTC